CTTCAGTGGTGTCACATCAGTACAGGAGTTTGGGGAAGGTTCCAGGGCTCCGAGTGCAGCAGGCCTGGCTTACCACATTTTGGAGGCAGTGAAATAATACACGTTACCATCTAAAGAGGCCTCCCCTAAGACCGTTAAGTCCAGAATCTAAAAATTACCGAAGTACACCACTGTTTCCCTTCAGTCCCCTCACAACCATCTATCTAAACAATAATGCATTACCAAATGTGTTTGAGCTGCACCCATTGTGAAATTAAACATTTTAAAAAGCATTTAGCAGTTTCCTAACAAGTCCTGCTTCTGTAGCCAGGGTTCTTGACTACTCCAGAGCTCCCTATGTATATACAGTAATTCATTCTGGAGCTCTCTATAGAGTTGTTGTTAATGCCTAGATACATTTTTCTTTTGTTTAAAGCATTTCTACCTTACACTTTAACTCAAAAGTAGCAACAGCCCTTGTTCTCAAGCTAACCATCTAAAAGACATGCCATGCAAGTATATCAGGTTTGTTCCAGAGTTTCCTCCAATATCTATTATTTAAACACATGCCTTGGTTCTCAGCAAGATAATCCATCAGTTTCTGTTTATGAAATACTCTTCATAAATATTTGTCTATAGTACATAGCACTAGCTCATTACCAAAAAAAAATAATAAAAAAAAAATTGGGAGCCACAGCTGCAAGTTAAAGAGATGGAATCAGGTACTGGTTTGTGGCTGATAAGTACTAAAAACACATGACGAAATAATGCTTATCTAATAAAGAACTTCGACTCTTTTGCAATCACAGGTACCACCAATTAAATGAATCAAAATAAGCTGTTGCACAATTACCCTCATCAAGCTAGGAATATAGTTTAATAAATAGCACTACAGTGGTACCTTGGGTTAAGTACTTCATTTGTTCCAGAGGTCTGTTCTTAACCTGAAAAATGTTCTTAACCTGAAGCACCACTTTAGCTAATGGGGGCCTCCCACTGCCACTGCGCTGCCGGAGCATGATTTCTGTTCTCATCCTGAAGCAAAGTTCTTAATCCGAGGTACTATTTCTGGGTTAGCGGAGTCTGTAACCTGAAGCGTATGTAACCTGAAGCATATGTAACCTGAGGTACCACTGTATTGCCACATTTTAGACTACTTTAATAAATAGCTTAACTAGCAATGCATCAAAAGACTTTTAAAAATATGGTTATTATTTATTATTTTAAGCTATTTCCCATATTCATGTATAATTTCAAATCATTCAAACAAACTATCCGCAGCTCACGTCTGGATACAATTTCACTTTGCAGTGAATTGCTGCCAAGGCAAACGGTATTGCCCAACCCATTCTAAACCTACCCTAACTCCCTTTATGAGTTTATTATTTAATGCTGCTGCAGAGCTCCAAAGAGACCCAAACAGGAAGCGTCTGGGTGTTTTCTGCTCATAGAGTGGGTGGGACAGAGTTCTTCAGAGAAAATAAGAATATGAGCTGCCTGCAGATCACATTGGGCCAGTTCCTCAATTTCCTCCAAGAGTTTAGTTTCCTTGGATACTGAAATGATTAGTCAACACTAGAATACTATCCCTTTAGACCTGTGTTCCTTTAATTGTATTGGAGAGACCTTGGGTTCTACAAACACAAAGACATGGGGCAGGGGAACACGTACACATCCATGCTCACAAAGGTCCTGTTTCTGGAGCCTGGTGCCAAATGCTAACAAGTCGCAGTTCAGTATTCAGCTCAGTAAATATATGCTGCATTTGCTCTTTCAACTCTCCATCTTCAGGACACAAACAGGGCTCTGATAGTCCTTTGAGATTATGCCAGAGAAGAGACCATACTCACATAAACTGAATGTCCTATCACATTGCAAACTGGGGGATGCTGGGGTCCTTTTAGTAGAATGTTCTTTCTAAGAGAAAACACTGATGCATTTGTTTCTGAAGTGGTCTGCTTTGTGTGACTTTACCCACCTAATTTTCATGGGAGACATTTGTGGGAAGTAATCTCCACATGAAAAAAACTCAAAGCTTGTATCATGCCAAAGAATTATGAATGTTCTCATTTTTAACTGACAGGACGACTCAAAACATTTTCTATATTTTCCACGGGTTGAATCCAGAGATATGCACACCTAAGGGAACTAATGGAACCTGCCTTTTCCTGTTCCTCCAGACCCTTATGCCATAAGTCACTCCATTCAACAATGTCCCCTGGATAGAAAAAAGAAAGGCTTTTTGGGATGGTTGCTGGCAGGGAGGAAAGTTTGTTCTCAGCAGTCCCCTTCAGTGCACTTATCTTTGGATCCAACCCCATGCTTAATCTAATTTAAAAATCATTCATTCTTGCTTTTATTCACAGTGTTTTATACACATAGTCTTTTTATGTGCATTTTCAACATGATTTGTTGTATACTTTTGAGCCCATTTGAACTTTTGCAGTAAGTTTCACCTGAGCTGCTTTTAAAGAGACATTATTCACAGAGCAGTTTACAAATACACATTAAAACATAACCATGCATTTATTGTCATGACACAGGGACTTTACCCCCATAGAGTCAAAATGAACCTCATAATATAGATAAAAGGGCTGAAGTAAAGGTGTAAAGATAAGTGAATATGCTGTTCTTATTTGGAGCACAGAAGGGGCTCCTGAACCCCAGTTCAGTTCAGTTCAGTTCAAACATCTCTAGTTATTTTCTAAAATGGACTCTGAGTCTACTGTGTCAATATGCACATGCTCAGTCTGTATTCTATTTTATTGTTTGGATGAGCAGAGAGCAACATAGCTTATGTGTACCTTGTGATAACCAGTTTCTGAACCTCTTAGAAGTTGTTTAAGGTAATAATTGACTTATCAAGTATCAATTCTGCATCTACCAAGAATCATCACAATGTTGGTCTGCAGCTGCTGTATAATGAGAAATAAAATACTCCAGCAAAGCAGGAAGATCGGTCGATTCATTTTATTGTTACTATTAAACATTTTGTAACTGATATGGAAAAATCAATGAAAATTTGCAGATATTATTGCTTGCCTTCTGTAATCTGAGAGGAATTTCCTTTAACTTCAACTGTAAACATTCCTTATACATACCCTCTCTGTTACTTATCTTTGTCTCAAAGCTTTGTGCAGCATCATATTTTCAAGAAGCAAAGTTATTTCCTTCCACGTTGCCATGTTGACAAACCTAATCTGGACTCAGATTAACAGCTGAGACAGCAAATGCAGTGATGAAACCATAACAGGGTACTTATTCTTTAGCATTCTTTACATGGCAGCACATTAAAGAATTGTACCTGCTTCTGGATTCAATTCCTATTGCTGTGCTTCCCAGCAAGACAGCAAGCAAGAGGAGCAAGACGCAAGATCAAAGTGCTATAAAATAAGGAACATGTTGTAAGATAGTAAGAAAATGATTGCATCAGAACATTAAACACTACTTTCTTAGGTCACTTCAACACAATTGGTATTTTTGGGGTGGGATTCAGTTGCATAGCATCACCATCAAATTTCACAATTAAAGTAGATTTGGTGCTTTTGCAAAATAAACCCATTTACATTTAAAAAAATAAATAAATTAAAATACTTTTTGAAGCAAAGAAAGTGATGGGGAAATGCACTAGAAATTGTGCATTGAAGTTGCTTGATGCAGTCTCTTACATTTTCTCCCACAAATCAGAACGAATGCTCAATAAACAGTGACATTATATAACCCTCCCTGCAAGCTTCGTGCAAACAAATCAGAATGCTAAATAAACAGCAGTCTGGAAGTAACCTTAGAATACACTGTCTTTGTAATGTAACAAATTAAAGCTTTTTAAGTTGTTATTGTTGCAGCTACGGTGCCTCTCAAAAACAAAACAAAACTGGCAACACTACAGTGTAACCCCATTTCTCTACTTTCTCTCTTTGTGTGGACAAGATACAGGCATCTGTGGCAGACTTTAGGCTTCAAAATTTCAGCGGTGCCCTGTGCAACACCAAAATTTGGCACCCCTACCTCCACTTGCCTTCCATTGCTGGTCATTGTTGCAGCAACCGGCCCAGCGCAGGCGAATGTAATCAAGATCCAGGTGTATTGGGATGTGTGGATCTGAGCACCCGCAATTAGCATGTGAAGAGTTAACTAACATGAAGGTATGGGGCAGTTATTATTATCATTTATTAAATTTGTATAGTAACAACCCAAGTGTGAGTTAGTATACAAATTTAATAAATAACAAGAAAGTCAAAATTGTCTTAAATCCTAGTCAATCAACGGGTGTTGATGAAGTCAGGTGAATTCCTTTGTTAGGTGATGCCTGGTTGGGGATTAACCATTAGCGCTTCAAACCACTAGTGCAGGCATAGGCAAACTTGGCCCTCCAGCTGTTTTGGGACTACAACTCCCATCATCCCTGACCACTGGTCCTGTTAGCTAGGGATGATGGAAATTGTAGTCCAAAAACAGCTGGAGGGCCGAGTTTGCCTATGCCTGCACTAGTGCATCAAAAGAACTGCCCACTAGAATGCCAATAAATAAAGGAGGTGGAATCAGGAGAGACAGGGCCAGGAAATGCTTGTATGTTTTTTAAAAATGTAGTATAAACACTAACAATTGGGAAACACTGGCCTGCCAGCAGTCCAACTGGAGAACAGCCTTTACCAAAGGTGTTGTGGACTTTGAAGATGCACAAACTCAGGGCGATAAGGAGAAACAAGCTAAGAGGAAGGCACATTTGGCAAACCCTCACCCTGATCAACTCCCTCCCAGAAAACTATGTCCCCACTGTGGAAGGACGCGTGGATCAGAATTGGCCTCCATAGTCAGTCACAGACTCACTGTTAAGACTGTTTCCATGGAAGACAATCTTACTCGGCTAGGAGCGATCGCCAAAGAAGTAGAATTATGTTCCTGGAAGGCCAGCATGGGTGGCAGAACAAAAAGTGATGCTGATGCTGCGAGGATAAGAAAAGCAGACTGCAAAGTTGTTCAGGTGAGTCAGATAAGCGTGCCTAGTTACGCCGGAGGGGAAAGCGAGGGTGGCGGCCAACTTTGGTAACGAGAGACACTGAGGCGAGGAGGCGGCCGTGGCGGTGGTTCGGGAGCCGTCCCTAAACGTATGGGTCACCCGCCGCAGCCCTGCTTCCAGAAGCCGCAGAGCTCGCTTAACTCGCGCAGCTCATCGATCTACTTCCCTCAGGTTGTTTGCCTAAACGGCTGGCGCAGGGCCCCGGCTGGCAGCGCGCCGGCCGCGGCCTTGAAACTAACCCTGAAGGCTAGCGAGGAAAGAGGGAGCGAGCGCTGCTCTCTCTCTCTCTCTCGCTCTCTCTCTCCTCCCCACCCCCGATCAGTTGAACTTTCCCCTCAGAAGGGAGCGCCGGGCTAATATCCTCTCTGCTCTTCGCCTTGGGCTCGCGCCTCTCCTCAGGAGGGGGGAAAAAAGGCGGTCGGCGTCGTTGTCAGCAGCAGCTGCACAAACAAGGCGAGCGCAGCCCAGCCATGGCGGCTTCTTCGCCCGCCGCCCCTCAGCTGGCGCTCCCCGCCTCCCAGCAGCTCCGCGGCCTCTTCTACGCCCTCACGCCCAACGAGAGCTCCTTCTGCGCCGTCGAGGAGGTGCCCGATTACGTGGACCAGGTGAGCCAAGCGCAGCTCGGAGGAGGCGGAGGAGGCGGCCTCGCTTGGCTTTTTTACCTGAGGGGGTTTTACTGCGGCCCATCTGCTCCCGCCCCCCCCCAACAATGCACGAACCCCGAGGAAGCAACCTGTGCTTTGGGCTGTGGAACACACGTCGTGGAAAGGGCTCTTGGGCTGCCATAGAGAAGCCCAGGGTTGAGTTTTACCTCAGGGGTGAGGAGAAAACAAAGGCTCTTTTGGGGGGAAGTGTTGGCGGAGCTGTTCTGTTTCTTGTGGGGCAGCCCTGGGTGTTGTAAACAAAAATGGCCCTTTTCCCCTTATGGGGTATCCAAGAGCCCATATAGAGTCCTTACATAGGTTCCCTATTGGTAGGAGAAGATAACAGAGGCCAACCAGAGAATATTGAGAAGCAAAGCAGCTAGTAAGCTTGATCTTTATTGATCTGTTGCAACAGGGTGCTCCCCTCACCCGCAGGAGAGGAAGAGGAACCCAGAACAATGGCGCACAAGGCCTTATAAAGACTTTTGAAATTGCCACCCTGTAGATCAAGACCACCCCCAGAAACATCATACATACATCACAGAAGGGGTGTAATCTAAGACCACCCCTCAGATACATCATACCTACATCACAGAAAAGGCGGTCTAAAACAGAAATTTGAAATTTGTCTTTTGTAATGTTAAATACTTAGTGGGCCAGGTCACAGGCTCACACCCTATTCATATCTTAAATGTGCCCTTGAGACAGGATTTGTGAGGAAAGAGACAATGGGAGGTTTCCCACTTGGACCTTGCAGAGAAAACATTTGCTCAGTTTAGGAATCAAAATCGTTCCAGGTCGCTCTTCCTGTGCTGATCTATGCACGTGCTTGGTTGGTACGCTTATGAACATTACCATATATCTAAGACCTCAAAATTCCTATCACATGGGGCCCTAGGAGCCAGGGGGCCGGGGTGTCTTCGCCCCCAATCAAATATTCGAGCCCCCCACTCCAATTAATGGACATCGCCAGCACCATTTTCCTAGAAAAAGAAGGACCAGATTTCTCCCTTGTTCCCTTAGAATGACAATGGCGCTCACCAGAAAAAATGGCGCCCACTGGGAAAAAAGTCCTTGGCATTGCTGTTCGTATGGTGTCTTTATATTTTTCGGGGTGGGGATTACCTGCCTCCCCCCAGTATTTTATTCAAGTTGGCAACCCTGCCTATGGTACACACTTTGTATGTAAAAAGGCCCTAGGTTCAGTCCTCAGCATCTCCAGGTAGGGACTGGGAGAGACTCCCATGTCCGAAACCTTGGACCAGGGCAGACAATACTGATATAGGCAGTATGGGGGTAGCCAGGATTTTTGTTGGGGAAGACAGTCAGGTCACCCTCTAAAGTTGATGACGTTTTGTGGGGAAATCACAGGTAAAAAAAATACACACACACACACACCCAGTACGGAGTGCACGCTTTGGTAGGTTGGTTGGGGGAAAACCTCAGTTGATTGAGTACTTTCAATGCTTTTCAATAGCTTCGCCCATGCTAGGCAGCCCACTGTTCTGACTGGGCCTAAGGCAGCTTCCTGTCTTCCTGGCCCTGACTGTGGCCTGAAATGAATTGGAGCTTAACGTTGCAGGGAGCTGGTTGGCACCAGGTTTCAATAAGAATGATACAGGAAATTCTGAGGAAGCCCAAATAAAAAGGGGAAACAAATATGGACTGGCATTTTAATACTAAGTGTTGGGTGAATGCTGGGGGGGAAAGTATCTTTTACTGTTTACCTGGCCTTTACCCCAAGGTCCCAGAAGGGGCTACAACAATTAAAGCACAACATTAAAAATACTTTAAAACAACTTACAAGCACAGAAATAAGGTAGGTACTAAAATATTTATATCTCAAGTGTCAAAAGCCTGAGTAAAGTGGAGCACCCAGGCTCCCACAATAAGCACACATATCTGGGCAAGTCTCATTGAATTCAATGATTTGCTCGGTCTCAGCGCCTGCCAACCTAGCAGTTCGAAAGCACCCCCGGGTGCAAGTAGATAAATAGGGACCGCTTACTGGCGGGAAGGTAAACGGCGTTTCCGTGTGCTGCGCTGGCTCGCCAGATGCAGCTTCGTCACGCTGGCCACATGACCCGGAAGTGTCTCCGGACAGCGCTGGCCCCCGGCCTCTTGAGTGAGATGGGCGCACAACCCTAGAGTCGGACACGACTGGCCCGTACGGGCAGGGGTACCTTTACCTTTACCTTTAATCTTTACTTGGAGTAGACCCACTGAAATTAATGGGCCTAAGTCATGACCATTAATTTCAGTGGGTCTGCTCTAAATAAAAGTTACTTGAATAGGACTAGCCCACCCATAGGATCAGACTATTGGTTTGCAATTATGTCCCCAGCTGGGAAGGAATGTTTTTTGCTGTATATACATATACAGTTGCACTTTTATGTACTATTGTTGCACTGAAACAGAAGCACTTTTCAGATTGGAAAGGACTATAGATCCCATAGTGGCAGAACACATGGTTTACATGAATGTCTCTAGTTCCTGACATAGTTACTTAAAGTTGTGGTAGCTAACATTCTTTGGCCCAAGAGATGTATGAAGAATAGAGGCTATCGTTTCGAAGGGCTTCATGGGCAGCACACATGTCTGTGTACACATATACACTGCACTGCGCACACACATACAGCAGGCACAGAGAAGAAAGGGTGGTCACATGCAGGTGTTCTCGGTTTCATGCACATGCAACACGCAGGCAGACTTCATCCTCCTTGCCTCATCCCCCTGCAGGTTGATCTGATGACTGGGAGAAGGTAGTCTTCTTCCCATCCATCCCCACTCACCAAATAGCTTGCTCTCTCATCTCACTATATCATTATTTATCTCAGTCCTAGTTCTGGAATGGCATTCAGCAATGGGGATTCAGTTTCTCTGTGATAGGAGGAGAACACAAAATCTTAAAAGGGTAAAGGCTTGGGAAAGTTCCCTGTCCGAGATCTTGGAAAGCTGCTGCTACAGTGGGTGAGCTGGATTAATGGCCTATTTGTAAATTCAAACCTGCTTTTGCAGGGTTCTTGGTCACTAGAAAATGTGATATATATTAATTGTAGGATCTACACACACATTTTATTGAGTGTGTGGCGATTGGGAGTGATAGTGTCATATGTGATCCTCCTCTCCTCACCCCCCCCCATGTGAAAAGTGCTAGAATGAGATTTGGATCTGGGAACATAAATTCTACATCTGCTATGAACTTTTATGGAAAATTAGATCCCCAAGTCTACTCAGCCTCATCAGTATAGCTTGCAGTGTGGAATAACTGTGTGGTAGAACTACCAGCTCTAAATACAGTTGATTCAGAAACAATACACTGAGAAAGTCTTTTCATGGATCGGTCAGAAGAACACAATACCTATATTTTCTTGAAAGTTCATATGTTTTTAAAATACAATTTTCTTCATAAATGTCATGTTCAAGTTAGGATTGGTTTCACACCTTCAGACAAACTTCACTTGATCTCCTGTCTCTTGATGACTCAGCTATATGTGTGAATTGACTGTACTGAAAATACATTGTTACTGAGTTTTTGATGCAATACAAAAGTACAACCAACAGCAATATTCCTGCAAAACTACAATATGCAGATGCGATGATAGCAAAAATAATGTGGTTTCAAGTATAAATCTTTACTACAAAATAAGCACTCTGTCGTCTTTTATTGTTGACTATCTTGTTTTTGTGTTTCTTTTTCATTTTAGGCAACTCCATGGTTCATTACCCTGATTTTTCTAGAGCTTATTGTTAAGTGGGCTCAGAAAGGATCATCAGCTCGGGTCAATGACAGCATAGCAAGTCTCTCTGCAGGGATCCTGTCTCAACTTCCAGAGTGAGTCCTCTCAATTGAGTGGTTTCGCTGATTCATGTTTAGGGGAAAATAATCCCCTGTGGCAAATACTAGCTTTCACTAACACAAAAAAGCTAGTAGGTTGGGTTGGTTGTGAAAGTGCAGTGTGAAATTGAAGGCATTTAGCTTCTCCTCCTGCTGCCACTGCACTGCAGGGAAACAATCAGTGTTACCTCCAAAGCTAGGCTTGTGGTTTATTCTTCTCCACTTGTTGTAAGCCTAGAACAGACCTTGGCTACTGCTCATACAGCAACAATGGGCCTGGGTTTGAATGTAATGTTAAGCCAGACCATGGTTTGCTTCTTGGCAGCGCAGCAGCACCAGGAGTGTGGAAGGAGCAAAGCACCTACTGCTTAAGCAGTGAGCACATTAAACCAAAGTTTATTTTATTATGGGTTAATGTAACATACAAACTAGGCCATTGAGGCATGCAGCTGTTAATACAATACGTAGTTTTGCAGGAACTGGTTTTCCACATCTGCATCTGAAAGTATTTGTAAACGACTAAATAGACTAGTTTAAATCAGGGGTTGATAACCTTTTTGGACCATTGGGCACATTTTGAATTTTGAGAAAGTGCTGTGAGTGCCAGTCACAACATGGCTATCGTGGAGCACATGGCATAACACAAAATGGCTGCCATGGGGGATCCATCATTGTTGCTGGAAGTTCCTGTGGTTGTAATGGTGAGGACTGCTTTTTATCAACTTTGGCTACAATGAACCATGCATTGGTATCCTTGAGACTATATTACTGTAATAGTCTATGTGGGGCTTCCCTTAATATTTGAAGGTGCAGAATGCAGCTGCTGGGTTGCTGAGTGATGTGTCTCGCCATGGCCATGTAATTGTTAACAGAACTACGCCAGTGTCCAGATTTGCAACTGACCCTAGTTTAAGGTTTAGATGTTAACTTAAAAGACCCTAAATAACTAGGGCCTGGGTTATCTGAGCAAACACCTTCTCCAACACATATCTGTCCAGTCACTAAGTTCATCCACAGAGGCCTCCTGTTGGGGCACAGCCTGCAGACATCCATCTGGCATTAATGATGAAGAGGGATTTCGCTGTGAAGGTATTGACTTCTGGGATGGTCTCGCTCTAGAAATAAAGCATGCACCAACAGTAATGCAGTTCTGGCACGTGCTGAAAGCTTTCCGAAGGAATCCATTCCATTGTCGAACAGGTCTTATTGTCAGAAAGTCCTGGTGGTTAGTTAGAATCTCCTTTCTTGTAACTTGAATCCATTGGTTTGGTTCCTAGCTTGTTGCCCCTTCCATGTGTGACAACTCTTTAAACATTTGAAGATGACTATCATTTCTCTTCTCAGCCTCCTATTTTCCAGGTTAATAATAATACTAATAATAATTTATTATTTATACCCTGCCCATCTGGCTGGGCTTCCCCAGCCACTCTGGGCGGCTTTCAACAAAATATTAAAATACAGTAATGTTAACATACCCAGCTCCCTCAACCATTCCTCCTAAGGCTTGATTTCCAGACCCTTGATCATCTTGGTTGCCTTCCTCTGCGCATGTTCCACATGCTGCTTCCCTTGCATGCTTTGGTAAAATTAGGTATTACTACTTTAGTTCATACTTGACTTTACATCTGAACCAAATTGATTTGTGCTTGGTAAGCACAAGTCATAGTTTGGTACATGGAAACTATGGCCCTGCAGTTGGACTCCAGCTTCCTTCAGCCCCAGCCAGCATGGCCAATGGTTAGGGATCATGGTAGTTGTAGTCCAGCAACATCTGGAGGACCAGAAGTTCCCCATCCCTTTATTAAACAGTTGACCAAACATTATCCATTGTTCTAGGTGAGTTTTGAATAGCATAGGGGGAAAGCTAACAGGATTAAAAATTAAAACATTCCTTTGTCATTTTTTATCCTAAAAAGCAAGCAAACAAAAAATAGTAAGTTCCTTCCATTAGAGCTTCAGGCAGCCTTTCCCCCCCAACAAATACATAGTAAGGAAGTTTGACAGAAACTGTTAAAATAATATTTCAGCAGAGCTCACTGTATCTGGGGAAATAGTAGTGTAAATCATTAACAGCTGAGGGTTAGATTAACACACTATTGATGATATCCTCTCCTAGGGACTAATTTTCATCTTCTCGGCTAACAGGAGAAAGTTTCCCACTTCCTTGGAAAGCATGTGATTAGTATTAAAATGGTGACTTGCAATACATCAAACCTGTAGTTGGAACAGATCTTCAGACATATAATAAGAATACCTTTTTAGTTGCTGTGAAGAAATTTGAAGCCAGGGATTTAAAATTTAAGTATGTAATGCAACTTTTAAATTCTCTTAAAAGGAGGAAGAGTATTGCGGCTGCAATCCTAAAAACTTTTAGTAAGTAAGGTCTATTGGACACAGTGGGACTTGCTTCCAAGTAAGAATTGAATGAAAACAAGAATAGTAAGTTGCTTAAGGATAATTTAAGAGACATTTAAAATTCATGTAAATGTAAAGCTTTAAACTTTTTAAAAATCACTTTAGAAATGGAAACGGGATTGAAACATTAAAGCTCAGTTTTTGGGAATAAGTCTCACTGAACTCAATGGAGCTGTTCCCTTCTGTAAGTAGATGGTTCTGAAAACCTTGACACGAAAAAATAAATTACAAATAAAACTTGCCTAAAATCTTGAAAAGTTTTCAGTGAACCAAGCAAAACAATACTCATTTCTCTGGAAATAACTACCAGTATATATATGCTAGATATGAATATCACCTGCAGTTAATTCACTATTTCTTATATTGGTTCATTTCCCCCCATGAAATTAAGAACTACAAGTAAATGTTCACAATAACATTTTGGTAAATGTGAAGTGTTTATGTATATATTTTCTTATATTCAGATCCTAAACTCACCTTATTTATTTGAAAGGAATGAACTTCCATGGAAAAATATAGGATTGCAGCCTGCAATGAAGTATCAGAAAATACCTTTCAGTTGGTTTGCCAATATACTTTTGTATTTAGGCTGTACACTTAATATTGTTTCTTTTTAGCCATGCCTGCAATGAAGATTTCCATTCCTAAAACCAGAACAAGATATAGTTAATCCTGTCAACTTAATATAACTCTCCACACTGTATTGACTACAAAAAGAGGGGAAATTCCTATTGGAATTTTTATTATGTGTGATTCTACATCTTCCTTTGTTGATAACGTTTAAAATTATGCAGCTGTTTCATATTCATTTTTTAAATAGCTGAAAGTCATTTAACCTATAAGGGCTGCACTTCTTTATACACTTACCATTGAAAACAATGGTACATATTTTTGTGTTGGTTGGAGCTTTTCTTTATTTTTAAGGGAAACAGCACAGATTTAAAATATCAATAAGCAAGCGTTTACTAGGCTCTGCTAATAATATTCAAAACTCTGCCATTTTTGTGAATTGCTTTTAGCCTAAGGTTACTTCATAGCCAGTTTTGCATATTGAGGGTAGAAGTGGATCATATTTGCCTTCCTGAGCGAAGTCAGGGAATAGAACTCCCACTCCTTCCTTCCCCTTTCCGCCACCTTGCGGAAAGTTTGGCTTTGTATTGGAGTGTGAAAAGGGAGAAAAAGCCTTGACTCTAGCATGTCAAGCATATTTCAACTCGATTTGTGTCAACTCTAATAAGTTGGTTGACAGAGTAATAAATTGGTTGTCAGCTCGAGAGCTGGCAACTGTCCAAAAAATAAAAAGGGGATTTCAGATTGCAGGCAAGCTCTTTTCCTTTTTCAACCTGAGGTTTCCAAAGGCTGCTGCTTCTCCCTCCTTTTTCGTAGAGAAAACATTAGGAAATCTTGTTGTTTTACTTTTTCTAGTCATTTTCCCATTGAGAAATGTAAATTTCAATTTTAAAGTAAGTCTGTAGACTTAGTTATGGTGTGTGCTGGTGACTTCTAAGCAATTTCTGTGAAATAAGAGTGGTGTGGCCAGCTTGTATCTTTGTAAACCACATTGAGGTGTGGTTTTTTTTACAATCAAGTGTTGTATACATTTTATTAAATAAATAGTATATTTCCCTTGCACTGAGGAATGCTGCCTGTTGTTATTAGACAAGAACAGTGTGTGTGTGAGAGAGAGAGAGAGAGAGCGAGAGAGCGCAAGAGCGAGATTTCGCTCCATAATCAGAACCAGCAGAACATACGTAGCTGCTCATGGTAAGCATAAGGTGGTAAAGGGTGGCTGTCTTTCTAATTTTGTGTTATTCCATGCTCTCCATGGCAGCCATTTTGTGCCCCACAGCAGATACAAGATTCACAATGTGCACACTTAATCCAAAAAGGTTGGCGACCCTTGGATTTCCTATCTCATATTTTATTTGTGTCATATCTACTTGATTTTAGTCTTTGAAGATCCAGCGTTTCCTAGTAGCTTCCTTTCCTTTATTCCACAAAACTAGACAGCAATTTATGGATTTTTAACACATTATTTATCTAACCTTTTGCAGAATTGCATATAAGGCTACATTACTCCAAAATAGGTAGAAATTAAAGCCAGGTTGTAATGTTAGTGAATTTTCCTACTATTTTGCAATGAAAATTTGTCAGAGCTTCTGATTATAAGCATCTTTCTTGGAGCAAGTGCCATTTACGCAAAAGAGCTTAGTGCCAGATAAATAATCAGCTTAATTAGCCTCCATTTTTTTTCTTGAAACCCTCATTGAAGGGGGGAGTGGAAGGTTTTTTGTTTTTTGGGGGGAAAAGAGTAAGCATTAAATAACTGCTAGGTTGATGACTTTCATAAAATATTATACAAAAAGACATAAGTAACTGCTGATGCTTTTTGTGATACAATCAATTATTCTTACAATTTTAGCTATTATGTTTCATTTTTTTGTAATCCAATGATGAATGAAAAATATGCAGAATTTACTTGCGTGACTTTTAAAACCAAAACAAAATCATTTCTTTCCAGTTAGTCTGAATTTTACACTCTGGCTACAACCCATGGAAAAAAGGACTCAAGGGCAAAATGAAAGTTCATAAAAATGGAGGAAACGTATCTGTTCATATTTCTGGATATGCTGCAAAAGCATTACATTTCTTTTATTAACAAGGCCAAAGTGAGAAAACAGTATCCAGTGGCCACAATCCAACACAGAGTCAGGCACTCTTAAGCCCTTTTGATTCAGTAGGGCTTAAGTCCATGTAACTATTCACTGGATAGTGGCCAATAAATGATAACATTGTATTGCTGGATCCCCCCCCTTTTTTTCATTTCCTGGGCAGTGAAATGATGTTGAGAATACTTTTTTTGTTCCCTTTAGACTAGCATTGGTTCTCTTCTCGCCAGTTGTCTGTATGATTAAGAATTTAAGCTAAGACTTGCAAATGCCGCATGCTATAAATTGTAAAAATATGGTTGGTCATATAAAATCATCTTTAACAATATCTGAAGAACAGGACTCTTATGAAAATTAAACATCTTCCAGGTGTTTTGCCTTAGAAAATGGCAGGTTCACCTACCATTGAAAGTTGCATGGAAATTCTCGGTCCATCAACTGCCAAAGTGAAGTTAAACAGATATCTTGAGTGGAAAATCAGGACAGCTGTTGGAGGGCTATGAGTGAGGCACAGGTGGACTATGACAGCCAGAGGTGAAAGAGGGTCCTCTCATACTCTTTCTGAATTCTTTTTGGCTTTTGGAATTGTAACCAGGAAACATTGCCAATGCATTTCCCAAATAATAGTTTAGTGCTAACACACTTTGATCATAGTGATTCTTTGTAGCTAGAGGAATCAGGTGCGCAGAGCCTTACAGGTAATTTTGGGTCAGCTTAAGACTCCAGCACCACAGTAGCAGCAATCTAATATGCTGACTGCACTTATTTGTCTTGTTTGTCATTTTTTGACTCTTCGATGTTGCCTCTGCTCATTGGGCCACTTCTTCTGTAGATTCAGTTTCACAGGCCCTGTTGATTTGATTTTGAATAATTTATCTTCACCTTTTTTTTGCATTCCTTATGAATTTGTGTTTATTGCTTCAGCAAGTGTTCTTTCACTGTTTTTCTACAATATTTATTTATTTACTGAATTTATACCCTGTGTTTCCTCCTGAAGGAGCCCTGGGTGGAAAACAGATCCGCAAGTTAAAAACAAAAACTTTCTTATTCAGTTAAAACATTCTAAAAACAATTACAGTTTAAAAAGTACTCCATCAAATGATCTCAGGGAGGAGCAGTATTCTTCAGCCACCAAATACTGAAATGTTTTCAAATTCCTCCTGAGCATTAGTAATGATGGAGACCTACAACTCAGTAGGGAGGGCATTCCACAAATGGGGAACTATCACTGAAAAAGTGATGCAACTGAGTAGTGCAGGTGGCAGCACTGCCAAAAAGGCCTCACTTGATTGTGGGTTTGAAATGGTTGAGAGGAATATTTTAGGTACTTGGGTCCCAAGCCATTTAGAGCTTTATATGCCTCATTTGTCACTGCCTCCACATACTTGTCCAACACAGCCTTTTCTGATTGTGAAGGAATGGAAAGAGAGAGCTGCGTATCATAGGTATACTGATAACACCACCCTCCAAGTCCCCATATGACTGCGTCCAATAGTTTCATAGCACACGAGACTGAATGGATCCTTGATAGATTCTGAAAGGCATGGAGTCAAGCAACAATCTCCTATTACTTGGGAGTAAGCCATATTCATCTAGCTTTTGAGTAAATTTCTTCTGAATAAATGTGCATAGAATTGGGCTACATGTTGAACTCAGAAATTTTCTTCTGAACTATGCCTTCCAAATTTCAGAGCTTTGTTTATAACCATTGAGCTGGCAATATACATCTATGTGTGGGACAACTACAGACTTCTGGAACTGCCATGGGACTCACCGTGGACATGGTATTTGACATTCCTTGGAGTAGATTTTGGTTACTACTGGTTCCACCGTATGGCTCATGGTAAGACTTGTTTTGTTTTTTGATTTCTTGTATATTTTTTACTTGTTTTCTCAAGAGATGCTGATGAAAGCACGCTCAGTTGATGCTGCCAGGAATGTATTAATCTTCTCCTTAACAAGTTGCTCCACCATGAATGCCATTTTGGCCATGAGGACTGTCATCCTGTCACCCAGGACCAGACTATTTGTAGGCAGAGTAAGGTGACTGTGTCAGGCAATAGACAATGGGGGTGAAGTAGTGACAACAGTCTACCCCTGCTATGCCCCCTCAGCATGTTTGCAGGCTGTTTTCACTCTCCTGAACTGTTAGTGATGCTGCTTGTATTCCTGTACTCCCTAGTCATGTTCCAGTGCATCACAGACAGTACCCTTGGAACAGGAAAGCTGAGAGGCAGGCAGCCCAGGCTACAAATGCCAGATGCCAGAAGGCATATGTGTGCATTGTTCTGCTCCTATTATGCATGCGGGTCCTGATGCTGTTGCATTTGGTTGAGGAATGGTGAACTGAAGTGAGATGTTCAAGGACAGAGCTTTGTGTCCTTCAGCTGTCTTCAGCTGCAGTAGAGGATGTTCTCCTTTCCATAGTGTTAGAAGTATGATTCACATACCAGTCCATTTCATGTTTCCATTTCAGTTTATGGAATAGAAGGGGCATTAGGTGTTCCCCCCCTCCTTTTTAGGCAGCAAAATGTTTTGGGCTAGACATGACTGGATGTAGGCAAGTAGAAACCTCAGAGGCAAGACACAGGCAGGCTGGAAGCTGCAAATTGTAAAGTTTGTCTATGTGAGTGAACCACTGCGAAGATCAGGACTTCACTTGTATGGAAAATAACTATATTTTGTGAAACTCCCCTAAGTTGTTGCATTATCTTTATTTACTTGATTAAAATGCACCAGTGAAAAGTTTCAAAAATGTATTGGCGTTTCCCTAAGAGTCAAGTCAGATGTAATCTTCTGAGAGCAGTGTGGCCTTTTTGTGAGTGTGTTCAATTTGAAGGTTTATTTTTTTCTTGAGTTAGGAAGCTGGGGTACCCAGTATGCTTCTGATTGCCTGGTACCCATGCTGTTGTCAAGAAATCTCTTCCCCTTACCGCCACCAGTCTTTGGAACAATTTTGAAGTTAAATATTTTACTCTCTTTAATTAGCAAGGCAAAGATGAATGAACATATATATATATATATATATATATATATATATATACACTTAAAATTAATTTAAAATTAATTAATTTAAAAATGAAAAAGATTGTCAGCCTTCCTGAAGCATGAAAGGTAGGGGCTAACACTGAATGGCCATATAAACATTTAATTTGCTGTTATATATGTTTGCATTTTAAATACTAGCAGTCACCTTTAAAGTCCAAAATGGCCTGGGGTGAGGTGGAACATATGAACTTGCATGTACTTTAAGATTTGCTCTCTGGCTCATCCATTCGCAAAGATCTGATTGGTAGTTATCAGAAATGGGGTCTTCTCCTTGGTGTCATCACAATTATGAAATTCTCTTCTCATGAAGATCTAACAAATGCCCTTTCTTCCCCTTCTTATACAGGTGCTTTGAAACTTCTATTTTTTTGAAAAAATATTTGCTTTTTTACTTTGTTTTTTTAATACCTCTGTGCATTTCTATTGTGTTGTTTGATTTCCAGCATTGATTAATTTGTTTCTTTAAATGTAAGCTGTTCCAAAACATTGGTTTGAAAAGGAAGGTATAAATTATTTAATAATTTTAGGCCAACATGCCTAAAATTAGTAGGGGACCCCTTTTGGGATTAGCGTGAACTTTTGCATTTCCTTCAAATGATAGGAAATAGAGATTTCTGTTCAAAGGGGGAAACATTCCTAAATCCTCAGATGTGTGGAAAACATTGCTGCAGACTTAAAAACTATAAGGACAGGTAGGAAATTATGATGGGCTGTTGAACTGAGTGGAAGGGTGGGGTGGCTCCTGCTGCTGATGAGAACACTCGTGATGGAAAAAGGAATGGGGTCAGAATCGGGCTAGAACAATGCTGGGAGGGTTTTTGAATTAAGCAGCAGAGGAAGGAGGCAATCGGACATACAGCAATCCTATGGGGAGGAACTCCAGACTTCATTTAGAGAGAGGGGTGGGTGGGAGATGAGGAAGTGCATGGGAGATGAGACAATGCTAAGGGGAGGGAATATTCATCATAAGGGGTAGCCAAATTCTTTGTGTGGGTGTGAGAGAGATGGGGAATATTTTTCATCAACAACAACATTAACTGTATTGGCAGCACTAAGATGTCCATGATTTCCATTATGAAAAGCTATTATAATACATCTCATCCTGAGCACCTAATCCTATCCACCAAATTTGCCTTGATAGAGAGGAAAAGAAAATCTGTTCACTTCTGTTTGGGGGGGGGGGAGAACAATTGCCCTTTAAGAGAACACTGTTGAACTCCTATTTTTAAATTATAATTAGACCATTTCATTGCAGGCAATAGGATTTTTAAGGTTCAAACTACATGTGACACTCAGTTGCATGATTCTTTCCCCAGATGATTTGTTTCTTTAATGCAAAGCAGCCTTGGAGGAGGCTGTGATCAAGAGCGGGGAGAACAGTAGGGGGGTTGTTTTAACTCCTATCCTTCCTGCCATTAGTCTGCTGAAAATCCTCCCCCCAGCTGCTTTCCCACCTGTGGGGAGAAAAGAGATTAGGTCCTGTCAGGGAAAGAAGCACACAACTGTGTAGTGACAGGATGCATGCATGGTTCATTCTGAAACAGCCTGCTCACTACTACACTGGATGGGTGCCAATTCAGCAAGGTACAAGAATCTCGTGCCAAAATAGCCACACAGAATAGAGAATTGTCCAGGGAACATCTTTACACTATGGTTGAGGAAACTATCTAGTTCTGTTCTCTAGAAGTGCTCTATTTTGGGCAGTTGTATAGGTAGAGGACCATTGTCTTGCTAGTGATTAAACTAGCAAGCGAAGTGGAAAAACAGCAGTGAAAAGGAGGTTACTAGTCACTTTGGGGCATCCAGCACCATGTGGGATTGGCAAGATACAGTAATGGCTACTTGTGTTTTGCAAACTTTCAAAGGACTCAGGAGAGCAATGCCTCCCTGCCTCTTTAATGACAAGCCATTCCATGTGAGGCTGTTGAAGAGCAGCAATGTAAACTAAAATTAATTACACTAAACATATATTATTAGTAACTTTTTTTTGTAATTTGCTTTCAGCTTAAAAAACAACCAGAAAAGAGAGTTCAAAAATGCATTAGAAAGTGCCTTTGAACATGTGAGCCATTGGGAAAAAGCTTAATACTGTAGATGGCTTTTCAAATTTTAGCAGACCCAACTACAGTGGTACTTTGGGATGCGAATGGGATCTGTTCCGGAGCCCCGTTCGCATCCTGAAGCGAACGCAACCTGCGTCTGCGCATGAGCAGGCCATGTTTCGCCACTTCAGCGCATGCGTGTGATGTCATTTTGACCGTCTGCGCATGCATGAGCAGCAAAACCCGGAAGTAATGCGCTCCATTACTTCGGGTCGCCGTGGAGCGCACCCCAAAAATACTTAACTTGAAGGACATTTATCCCGAGGTATGACTGTATTTTAACTTTACTAATTCTGAGGCTTTTAAAAAAGGTGGGAAAACTTTCTGTAGAAGGTTTCTCATCTACAGTAGTTACCTTGTTTGTTTTACATATCTTTTGCTTGGTTAATTACAAATACAGTATGTGATGTCTGTCCCTGGTGGCTAAAGGTTTTTATTTTCATTTTAAAGGTGCCAAAATGCTTTTTAGTTCAAGAATGGCAGTGCTTTCCCCAGGATACTGGAGTGTTTTCCAGGTGACGCAAACACAAAAATGGATAAAACAGATTTATTCCTCTGCACTCTTCACTTTTAAAAATAGTCAATGGAATGAATAGACCCATTCTGGTGTTTTCAGAATTGGTCTAAGGCCTATTGTCATGTTTCACCATATGAATTAGACAAACTAATCTTCCCATAGTTGCCTGTGAACAAATAAACTTTTGCAACATTACTGTGGAAAAATTCTAACCCATATGTGATGCTGTTAAAAGTCAACTTTTATTTGGCTATATCTGAATTTCCCAACCTGTAAGCCTCCTGATTTGTTAGGCTGTATTCGTAGGTCACATTTTCTGATCCTCTAACGTTCAGAAATTTAAACCATAGTTTGAAAGATTGGGAAAGCGTGTTCTCATTAAAAGAGAGCACGTGTTTCAGTGGGGGCCAGCCAAGACACCCCTCTGTTGCCAGGCAGTTTGGGATGGTATAGCTCTGGCAGAGATTGGTAGCCTGAGTTGCTGGGGTAATTTTGATGCTACCAATTTGGGGGTGGGAACAGAGGTTTTTTAAACAGTGCTCACAGCGATCTGCTTTCTCTTTTGTTGTGTGCACCGGATCACCCGCCCTCCCTCCCTTAATTTGGGTCTTGTGCATTGACCTTGCTATGCCTGTCACGGGGTCATCTGCCGTTGGGGCAGGGGCCTGGTAGGAATTTTGTCCATTTGGATGATTGGCTGGTGCCATTTCGTTTTTGCCTACTGCATAGAAAATCATTGCAACTTGTAAGGTTGCGGTTAGGCATTGGTTAAAATTGGTTGGAGGAGGGGTAAGGATTGGCTGGGCCTGCCCCTCCAGTGCTGCTGCTGCAAGGGAATTCCGTTAAAGGAATTCAGGGGCTTGCCATCCTTTTGTCCAAACCCCTGGAATCAGGTTCGGGTCGTGTAAGCCCCTGGGAGCATGCGGGGAGAAGCTGAGGGCCTGTGGCGCAGCTCCAGTTCTCCCCAACATTGTTTCCCCTCACTGACTTTCGCTGGAATCCGGAAGTCAGTTCTGTCCCCAGACACGGGGACAGATAGTCCTAACCAATGCCTAAGCAACCACTCACATCCATGTATGTTAATAAAGTTGTGGCCAAAATTATGCCAAAAACCTTAAACAAAATTCTGTGTGAAGTGTGTGTTATTGGGGTGGGGGTGTCTTGGGGACCTCAACA